AGTTGGTCTCATTCTCTCTTTATCCACATTATGTTTTTATATCCACCTCTTCATCTAGTCACTCACCACACTCTATCTCGTAGTGAATCAAATCGGAGATTTCGGAGCACAATCTTTGGCTGATGCATTACAGCACAACAAAGTAATTCTCATTTTCTCTTTCACTATGTTATGTCCTTACCTCCACTTTTTCATCTAGACACTCACCACACTGAGTCTCTTAGATAATCAAATCGGATATGTTGGAGCACAATTTCTAGGTGATGCATTACAGCACAACAAAGTAGGTCTCATTCTTTCTTTATCCACACCATGTTTTTATATCCATCTCTTCATCTAGTCACTCACCACACTCATTCTCGGAGCGAATCAAATCGGAGATACTGGAGCACAATCTTTCGGTGATGCATTACGATACAACAAAGTAACTTGCAGTTTCTCTTTCTCTATGTTATGTCCTTACCTCCACTTTTTCATCTAGACACTCACCGATCTACACTTCGGTTTCAATCAAATCGGATATACTGGAGCACAATCTTTGGCTGATGCATTACGACACAACAAAGTAACTATTACTCTCTCTTTATCTATATCAAGTTTTCACTTCCACTTTCTTGTCTAGACACTGGCCATACTAAATCTCTGGCGTAATCAAATCGGAGATATTGGAGCACAGTTTTTGGGTGATGCATTACAACACAATACAGTAATTCCCTCTTTCTCTTTATCTATACGATGTCTAGATTTCCACTTCTCTATATAGACACTCACCGAACTAGACGTCTGGGGGAATGAGATCGAAGATGATACGATGCATGTAATCAAAGAATTACTTGAACGGAACAAAAAAGGAAGAAAACCGTGAGTGGGACTATTAGATGTATTTGTATGATGAACAAATTGCTGGTGATGATCATGCGAGTATTTATTTTTGTGTTATGATTTTTTCATTAAAACAATAAATAAAATTGCTTTTTGAAATGGAATATGTGTTTTATTATTAATATTTGTTTAAGTTTTTTGATATTTGTTATGGGAGTGACGGTAGACGCAAAAAAACAAAGCTTTTTCAGAACTATGTGAGGGTTTGCGCAGTTCTTACAAAATCAAGCTGAAGTTTTCTGTCTCAATATTAAAACTTGAAAAGGTTTTTTTCAGTGAACTGAGGCAGAAAAAGTTTTGTATGATAGTAGAAGAAATCTGGGAGGTCAGTGCGGGTAAAGACGAATGATAAAAGCTTTTCTGTGATAGCAATAGAACTCTGCGATGTTCTATCCGATGATAATGAATCAGATAAGTTTCTCTGTAACAATATGGAACCTTAAAATGTGTAATAGCGGTTAGTGAAGAACTCAGGACGACTCTGTGTTTAATGCTGTTTAACCGAACATGATTGCTCTAGTTTTACCAAATTTCTCAAGATTTTGTCGTTGAATGGCTGAACCATCAAGAATTTATCCACCGAAAAAAAGAAGTTCAGTATGAAACTATCTTGTAACTATGAAAACTCTTTTATCGAAGCGGTTTTGTATATATTCGATAGTACTATTGCATTGAGTTATGTTATTTTTTACTTAATTTAGTGCTATGATATTAACATTAGATATTATGGCTGTATTTGTTTGCGATTAAAAGAAGACTTATTTATTAGTTGTTGAGTTAACTATGTAAATCTCCTACTTTGAAGCGTCGTTCTGTTTCTTTAAATAATTTTAGTTGTTTGTCAGTGATTAATTGTTAAATAAATCTTAGAAGTGTTTTAGCATTATATTCATTAGCCATTATTTCTACTGGAACAGTATCTCCTTTGACGATAAAAAAGGCACTCAACGTTCCTGTTATATGAAGTCTAAATACATTCAGTTTATCTTTCTTTTGAGAGAAAAATCTATGGGAAGTTTAGAGTCAAAAAATGAAAAGATAGTGCTATGAAGAATATATTACTATCATAAAACCCAGCTCTACTTCTTTTCTGACTCTTAGATTATCAAGATAGGACAGTTATTTTCAAATATCTTCCGATGAAAAATAAAAATTGAACTGATATTCATTATAATTATACGCAAATGTGCACTACAGTGAATATCTTTCTTGTTTCCTAATGAGAAGATATAAGATCGAGCATTCTATTGATGTTGTTTTTTAAGAAATAATCTCAACTGATAATATACAACTTCATAAACTTTCGCTGTGAATCAAGCCAAAAAGTGTTGGAGCATTGAGAAATGCCACCAACGTTGGTCTCCAAAGAATGTGAATCCAGATGAGATGCGTGAACGTGAGCGATTTTTTAGTTGATGAAGTTTTAAGACTAGACTATATCTGCGGATAATGTATTTAGTGAAAAGTTTCTGGAATCGTTAAATATTTACAGGCGTGATCAGTTAGCTAGAAATCTCAATTTACTTTTTCTTCTATTATCAGTTAGAAATTCAACCATATTCGAGCCAAATTATCGTCGTCATCCTCAAACTACTACTAAATTTGAAGGAAGTCGGTGTTAGCGTGAAATAAATCAGAAACAAGACCACATCAACACCCACACACTTTAAAAATGTAAAAAATAGTAAAGAAGTGTCGCCGTTTTTTCCAACGCACTCTTATACTTCAAACTGTATCTATTGTTCAATGTGAATATACCAAAAGATGCAGCGCATTTTGCACTTTCTTTCTATCGTTGAGAAGTTAAAAAACAAAAGAAGTTTTATGATAAAGACAATAAAAAAATAGAGAGGTAGTTTAGTTGAGGTTCACTGTAATTAAAGTTTAGATAAATCAGATAAGTGCGAGTTTCTCGTGATTTTTAGCTTTGAACGATGGCATTAGGTGTTGGTATTTTGATCAATTCAGCTAATTTGAACGCATGGATAACTGCTAAAATCTAAAATAAAAATATCGCACAAATATATCAAACACAAGAACAGAGAGCGTCCAAAAAATCTTCGAGAATAGTTTACGTACATATCTCTTATATGACTCCAGTGGTTTAGTAGCTTTCTTTAATAAACGATAGAATATTTTTCAAGTTCTGTTGTGTATACTTTCATACAAATATTTGTATCTACAAACATTAGAATAACAATTGCTTTGTTAGCGACTAAATCTCATTCGCTTAGAGTTTCGAAACGAAAACTATTGACTGAATCTAGGAAAGATATATTCAGATTTAACTTGCATTAAAAACAGATTTCAATGCTTCTATAAAAAAAACTCCTGTAAAATGTATGACTGAATCAGAAAAGAGAACTGATTGGATATATGTATTCCAGTTGATAGTAAGCATTTTGAAGAGTTACTGTAAAGGAAAGCATCTAAAAATATACTTCAAAGAATATAATATCATTATATAGAACCGATTAAATCGTATGAGTTATAAACCAAATATTTATGTAAATTTTTCTTGGAGTCTTTTAAAAACATTCTTTACTTACTGCTATCATGATGTTCATATATAATGCACCAACACTATTTATCATCTCAGCTGCTTGAAACGTGCAACGTACTGTTGAACATGATTTCCAAATTTTCCCATAAAAATCATTCATTATTATTAAAACATATATAACAGGTACAACTTGATGCATTCGAGCAATCTATAAAGTAAAATCAATAACAGAATAAAAACAAATTTATACGTACGATAAGAATACCAATTTGATTTAATTTATATACAATGATAATAAAAACAATATAAATAACTATTCTAATAACTAAATAGAAAAGAAAAGCCTGAATAATTAAATTAAAATAGACGGTTTACGTTGAAAAATGAGAATTCCAAATAAAGCCATATTCATCAAACTATCTTTAACGTTATTACTGAGAGATGCATAATGGTAAGGGAAAAGAAGAACCTGTAAAGCACCAGAGGTTATTGATAAGACCTAAAATAACAATAAAAAAATGATCATTCGAGAGTGTTAATCAGTTTATTATATGTTCCAGCAAAAAAATTATTCATACCAATTTAATTGAAAGAATAATTAGAAGGTTATTTCTTGTACTTCTTACTTCCAGGTTTTGCTTAAAAACTTCAACTTCGGAAGATTGTATCATTATTATATGGTAAGATCGATTTTTCTTCTCTGTGATAAGAATGAATAGGAGCAATAATAATAATGAAACATTTATATTATAAATAAAACAACAATGATAATGTAATATGATAATAAGGAAGAGTCATCATTGACACCTTGATCAGAAATGTCATAAGTCTCTGTTAGTACAATGATGTACCAGCAAGTTCAAGATAGTCATTTCAAATGTCAATATGAAAAACAAAGAACTCCGACACAATATACATTATCCATATCTACACCTGCGCTCATTATAAATAATAAAGGCGTGCACAGTGTGTACGAACAGCAGAAGAGAGAAAAAGAAACAATAAGTTTGCTATTGTTACTAAAAGATTTGGATTGATGAGTTGCTCTATTAACAAAAAAACATGCGCATCTGTCTAACTGATAGTTATAAATCTGTCTATTTATTTTCTTACTAATACAAGAAAATACACTATACTCGATTTGAGTGTGCATGTCGGCGGATTATTAAACGTCTGAGAGTATCATATACATTTAATAAACACCCATACCCACACCCTCAAGATGAAAAATTAGCATTATACAAGTTCATTATCGAATAATAAACGTTAATTTTCTTCTGTTACAAAATCTCATCGCGCTAACAAATGATTTTACCCATATAAACTTTTCATTCGATAGATGTCACATATATACCATTTTGCTATGATACTAAATTACGTGCATAATTAAATAAATCTTTCATCTTATCTCTCAATTTTATCCAAATGCATATATCTTTTTCAAGTAATTTCAGTCTACAGTTATCATTGAACAAAACAACCTATCAAAACATTATTCTTTTTCTAGATATTTTCTTTGTATTCTTATAGTACTAATAACATATTTACTCGATAATTTTCAAAGAAATTAATTTTAGATTAATTTTACCTTAATTATTCATTTATTCTTCCTATTATGTTTGCGGCATTTCGACGCCGTGCCGCATCGGCATCACGTTCCGATTCAGATGTTAAAGAAACGCCTGTTATGGAAACAAATGGACGTAAAACAAATCTTGAAAATGGTTTCGCTACACCAACAGTTACTACAAATGGAACTAATACATTAAATATTAATGGTAACAATGGACTGAAACATCGTACTTTATCTGGCATGTCAATGACATCATCATCCTCATCATTTAGTACATCACCAACACTTAATATAACTCGTCAACAAGAAAAACACGAATTACAAACACTTAATGATCGTTTAGCGGTTATTATTGATACAGTTCGACGACTTGAACAAGATAATGAAAAATTAAGAGTAAAATTAAATTTAAGAACAAAAAAAATATTCAATTCAATCTTTATTCTATTTATAGACAATTGTTAAAACTAATACACAATCATTTGAAATGGAAACATCAAAAGTAAAGACTTTATATGAAAATGAATTAGGTATATATGATTAAATTAAATTCAAATTTTTATTTGAAATTTTTTTTGTTTATCGTAGAGGATGCAAAAAAATTAATTGAAGAATTAGCCCATGAAAAATCACGACTTGAAATTGAACTTGAAAAGAGCCGTAGTGAAACTGCAGATGTACAAACGAAGTATAGAATAATTATTTTTCCTTCTGAATATATTTTTTTGTTTACTTAGAGCTGCTCGTAATGATCGTGATTCACGTGTATATGAATCACGTTTAAAACAATATGAAAATGAAATATCTGAATTAAAAGCACGTTATGATTCAATTACACTTGATGCAGCACGTCGAATTGAAGATAATGAGGTTTAATTCTTATTTTCTACTATATGAGAATCTCTTTTGTTTTTTTTATATAAGACACTTGTCCATTTCAATAATGATCTTGAAAAACAAGTATCAGCATTAAAACGTCAACTTGAATCTGAAACATTATTACGAGTTGACCTTGAAAATAAAAATAAGACTCTACGTGAAGAATTACAATTTAATCAACAAGTCTATGAAACAGTTAGTTAATTATAGACTTTTCTTTATTAGAATTTATTTCAATTAAAATTAATTTTAAGAAAATTTATCAAATTAAAGAACAACAACGTATTGAAATTCGTCATGATGATAGTTTACGACAACAATATGATGCTAGACTTTTACAGGAATTACAACAATTAAGAACACAAAATGAACAAGAAATGCAATTATTAAGAGATGAAATTGCAGCACAATATGAGAAAAAGGTAATGAAAAACTAAATTATTATGAAACAAAGTATATTCTAATTATACATACGCGCTTTTTCTTTTAAAGATTAAAATAATTTAATGAATAGTCTAATAAGCAGAGAAAGAACTGGTTATCGACTGTTCTTGGTGAAATGAAATTATCATTAACTCTTAAAGATAGATATTGCAAAAATTGATTTGATCACAATTCTCTAGGGTGCTGCATCGGGAATGAGTATTTCCAAAATAGAGACTTTAGCTTAATTCTTGGGTTCTTTTGAAGGTAAACAATGAATAGAGAATAAAATTTTCTGTTAGGCCGTTGTATTTTCGGATCTCATTGAAGACTCTATTTTGGAAATACTCAATCCCGAAAAAATCTCGATGCAGCACCCAACATTTCTCGATCGAATTTTGATAGATATCCCTATTTTTCTACAGAGCTGTTGAGCAATCATTTGAATCATTTGCTCTGTTAATTGCACCGATGAGTTTCTTTATATTGAGTAAAACTAGGAAGTATTGTCTGACATGTATTTTTTTCGTAGATAAATCTACATATCTATTAGTTATTTTCAAACTTATAGACAAATAGAAAATACAACCCTACCTTTTTTGTGTGCATTATATATGCTACTAACATTGAGAGTCGATCGTCTAATTAATTATCAATGTTTTGATTTACTTTCATAATGCTGTTGAAATCGTTTTTTGATATTCTATAATATCATTCTTCAATTAAGGCGAGTTGAATCAAACGATTGAAGAACATATGTAGTGAAACCTAAGTTTCAAATAAGAACTATTTTTAATGTTTACAGCAAACCTTCTACTAATTCTTTATCTGTTCTAAATTCAAAATGTTTCGATGAATATTGAGGAAAATATGAGTCTTTTTCTGAAGTAGTTACAGAAATTAATTTGTAAATAACCAAATGCAATACATACGCTCAGAAGAAGAAAATCCAAAATAATTCTTTATTACACAATAAATATTCAATACTATCTGAATCAGTGGGATATTTTTCGAATCTGTCAAGTTGTATTCAATAGGAATTCATTATAATATGAGACATAATTAATTGAATAATATGTATAGTTTCAAATATTTTATTTGTATTAAGATTGAAGATTTACAAAATACTAATCGTCGTAATCTTGATCAAATAAGTAGTTATCGTGCTGATCTTGTTTCCTATCGTGAACGTATTGAAGAAGTAACAAAAACTCGTGATACATGTAATGATAAAATGTTACAATTAGAACAACGTTGTCGTGAGTTAGAAGATCGTGCATATCGTGCTCAACAACAACAACATGAATCAATGGCTGAACGTGATGATGAAATACAAAATCTTAAGCAAATTATTGAACAAATGCAAAATGATTATCAAAATTTACTTGACACAAAAATTGGATTAGATAGAGAAATTTCAACATATAGAAAATTACTTGATTCAGAAGAAGAACGATTAAATATTGGTGGACGAATAGGTCTTTCACCACCTATGAATGGTAATGCAACACCAACAGGTACTGATAGTCTATCAACATCAACAACAACAACAACAATAATAACAACGAATGGTGCATCACAACGACAACGTCTTAAACGACCACGTTTTGAAGTTGATGAAGATATAATTATTACCAATGGTAATGGACATTAAATTTAAACAGGAAAAAAAAGGAAACCAATATCGAAGTTCGATTTTTCTTTTGGTTATTACCCGGTTCTCAAAACTTTTTTCTTTGATATTTCGAACGAAAAGATAGTAATATAGATTATATGAGAAGAAGGTAACTTCTACTCTTTTTTGTTATGTTATTCTTTAGTTAGTTACATTTTTTGTACGATTATGCATTTGGTTCTTGTGTGTCAGATGTTTTTTTTTCTTCTTTCTTCTCTTTAAAAATAGTAGATATATATGTATGAGTTATGATAAATTAAAGAGTAAATAAAACATACTTTCATACAATAAAATTTATTCTAGTGTATATAAATATCACATAGAGCCATAAGATTTCTTACGTTAACTTGTATTTCATGTTTAATGATGATGATGAAGAAAAATCAAATACAATTTGCACCAAGCATTGAATGTCTCGAGTATATTTAT